TGCTATGACAAACATGAACCAGATGATCAATTTTAATAAAACTCTATAGCAAGAATGATTTAACTTAACAATTTTAATAAATCTCTATAACAAGCATAAACCAAATATTCAATTTTAATAAATCTCTATGACAAGAATAAACCAGATGTTCAATTTGAATAAAACTCTACTGCAACAATGAATTGAAGGTTCAATTTCAATAAAATTGTTTGGCAAACACGAATTTCCAACTCTACCGAACTATTTGCCTACTACATTGCTCTATTTTCCAACGTTACGAAACAAAAGAGAAGAAGAATAGTCCTCGACGGTCTCTGTGGCAACCAGAAACAATAGTCGCGATACTTTAAGCACAAAACGAACCGGGAGAACAAAAAAAGAAAATCACCGCGGATGTGACCTTTCGTCCAACGTTCCCTCTGTAATTAAATGAAATAATCGAGTTGTGGCGTTGCAACGCGCCGAGCCGCGTTCTCATTATAATGCCGTGCATTCCACGGATGAAACGAGTCTTTCTCTCGGCACGTAGTGCATCTACACCGGTGCACGGAATGCGCAAATGATGGATTACATACGAATTTGCCCTGAACATTACGTTCATCTTCGCGCGCTACCGTTCCATTTTAATTACAACTTATCGCTCATTTGCTGCAACATGTGACACGATTACAGTGCTGCGGTTTGTGAGTTATTGTTGCGAAAATTAAAAAAAAAACGGTAAATGAAGACTTATGGCTAGACTGCGGATGTTTACGCATTTATGGCAATTGAAAATATGAGGAAATCTGTGAGAATATACACAAATACGATAATGTATGTATAGAATATCAAGAATAATATTCATATTATACCGTTTATAAGATAAGACATACTCTCATTATAATTTCAATTCTTTTTCTGTATCTGTGAAAATATGAATTTATATTTACATGAACATTTATTTATGACAGTGAATTATTGTGTGATACATTTTTATCCCAGTCCATTATTTTAATAAACTAAGTTGTTATTTCAATAGAATGTGTTTACCAAATTATAATTACTCAATTGTTCAAAATTACTATTGTTCATAATTCAAGGCATTCGAATATGTCTTCCAGGAATTTATGATTTTTAAGTTATGTTCTTTAGAACAATTTATCGAAATAAAATTCGAAAAAGGAAAATTTCAAGGAAATATCACAACGAAACTTCGGATGGGACTTTCCGATTTCGATTGCGTAAATCGTAAATTCCCAACGTCATTCGAGATGAAATTTCTGGAAACGGTCTCGTCATTGGCAACGTATATTAAAGAATCGTTTCACAGGAATCTTAAAAAATTAAGGACACCCCGACCACACGTGAAAGTATATAATAGCGAGTAATAATTTTATCGAATGATTGGACGAAACGTGAAACTGTGGTAGCATAGCTTAATATTTCTTTCTTCTAACGGATTCTTGTGAGATTCACGCAAAAAACTAACAAACGATCGCACTAGAATGCGTCGTTGTAATCTCGTAGAAGCCCTAGAGGCACGTACTCACGTTGAAGTTATGTGAAAAAGTATGCAGTCGCTGAGTGTTCTGACAATAAGTAAATTAATATCCAGGATCTCAGCATTATCATTCAACCTTTCCGCGATCATCGTCAGGAAATAGTTAATGCAAATTTTATGGTAGTCTCATGCGAGCCATCGTGTTTAGTATCCTCCTGTCCTATCGTTTTACATAGCACGTATGAAAGTGTAAAAGGTGGAAAGTAAATTTGTCAAATATCAAATTATGTATTTAAATTATTTACAATTCCTCACATCTAGTGAACAACCTAATGGTCTCAAAAAAATGAAAAAAAAAGACAAAATTAAATTTGTAAGTCCCTCCATAAAAAGGCACTAGTAAAAAGATTAATGTGATCCAAAGGGAAAAATTTTATAATAATGACAAATAATTTCAGATTGAATATTATTTATAACATATAATTTAACATACGAATAAGTGCATCACTGGTATAGAAACATTAAATATTGTTACATACATCATTATCTAAAATTCCTAACATCTAGTGAACATTCTAATCTACTAAAAAAAGAAGAAAAAAAAAGGAAAAATCTAAATTAAATTTGTCAGTGCACTCCAGCAAAAAAGAAACACACTCCCCTCGTGAAAAGACACTCGTAAAAAAAAAAGACGACAGTCAGCTTCAGGTTGACTGGATAAAAACGTGTACGGTGTTAAATTCTAATTGCGCCTCGTTGGATGCGCGTTGCAGTTCTTGTAGCGAACGCGAGAAGCAACAAGATAAATTTCTCAATCACGGCTTCGGTATCCCGATCGTGTCTGAGAATACTGACCGACACCGCACGGAAATGCCCCATAGGTACGGGGTGAACGCGAGAGATAGCCAACGGGGAGATTTTTTCGACCTCGCGAGACACACATAGTTTCTGCGGCGAACGGGGCCCGTTCCGTTTCCTCATACCGTGCATACGTGCTTAACGAGCACCGTGGTATAATGCGCATAACGCCATTATAATAAACTTCGTACTCGCTCATTCACGCGAGCACGCTAAGGGAGGGAGCTCGCGAGTCCGTGCTCATCCCCCGCTCTATCGGTGCACGCGCGAGCCACGATTTCACCATAATTGTATACAGGACGTTCTTAACAATCATAATAGACGGTTTAGAATAGAATTTTGTTGTGCGGTTTTTTCTTTATCTAGGTAAATAAATATGGAAATTTAGAGGTAAATAAATTTCGAAATCTGGAGTTGCATACGATCGTTTGCTAAAAGTAAACATTATTTTTTGAAGAAAAACTGAGACTTTATAATTGTAAATTTAGTACGTAATTACTTGATTATATAACATATATATCGTTTATTTCATAATTTTAAACTATTTTAATGTTATAATTACGAAGACTCGCGATCAGTTATTTTAATATAAAGCTTCGTTAAATTGATAATTGATTAAATTTTGACTAATAGTAATGAATAATAATCGTCAGTTTTATTAATAATAATGGTCATGAAACCAATTTATCGTAATAGAATAGTAAGACTGACAAGTACACGTGTATGTTTGTCGAATGCGAGAACATGTACTTCACATTTATTTTTTTTTTATTTAGAAGTTGATGAGTGTTTTGTTAAATGTGAGACGAATAACGTGTGGATCTCATCAGATGTATAATAATTTATAAAAACATAATTGTTATCTGATATCTTTTCGAACGTCTTGTTAAATACATGTTGATGAACATTTTAGTATATTAAATTTTGCCATACAGCATGGAAAAATTTAACTTCATGAATTTTGTAAGTAATAATAAGAATTTCGTAATATTCTTTACATTAGATGCCAATCATCCAGTAATTATCTGTAAAATTGTAGTCATTTTTCATCAGAGAGTTGCTGCTACCACGAAGACATATTTTCCAAGTTATTAACTACTATGTCTTCATCTCTTCGTTTAAACCGAAGAGCACTTGTATCTTCGATAGACTACCATTTAAAACAGCTTACGCAATAATTAATAGTCGCTTTTGAAACAGCGTTCGTATCGATACGCCACGTGTACGGTTTTAATTCGTCTCTAGATAATGTCAGCTCGCATATAAAAAGAAAAAAAGAAAAATTGCGACCTGGATATATTATCAGAGCTACAATGTACATACGCTAATGACTATTTACTGTCCTCGTACAATTATTAAACACTTAATGATCGCACTTATTACGCGATATTACCTTCACCGTGAGGTAACAAAGTAAATCGACTCATCGTAATTGCTACACAAAGCGAGGCGCATTACGAAAGAACCATGAATATTCATGTGCCAATGTAATACGTATAATGGTTCCCACAGTTATCGCCCTAGCTCGCAATTCGATCGATGATAATGACCATAGAAAAAGCGTTGAAGTTCATTGTGAAGAGAGAGGAACTAAAAAGTTACTTTCAAACCGCTCTGGGAAACTGCGAATAGTCTAGTGAGAGTGTGATTCACGTATTACTTGATGTACTCGGTAATTGGACCGAGGATGTGGAAAATGAAATAATGTACTAGTATTACAATTTTAGTGATACAATTATGCATGTATACTTAGAAAAATATTTAAACACGGATGTATAATTGTGAAAATGAATGTTAGTTTGTATATGTTATAGTCTATTTGTATTCAATATTTATTGCTCGTTTCTACAATTCTGATTCTTATCATTTCTAAGAAACAAGAATTTTTTGTAAAAACTTTTTAATATATATACTCATATAAGTAATTTTCTCTCGCGGAAGTTCAATCTGCAATCATAATTGAACTATTTAAACAGAAAAGTACTAAAATGTTCGTCAACATGTATTCAACAAGACGTTCGAAAAGCTATCAGATAACAATTATGTTTTTACAAATCATTATACACCTGAAGAGATCCACACGTTATTCGTCTCACATTTAACAAAACACTCATCAACTTCTAAATAAAAAAAATAAATGTGAAGTACATGTTCTCGCATTCGACAAACATGCACGTGTACTTGTCAGTCTTACTTTTAAACAATCTGATAAATCGAAAAGAACTAAAAACATAAATGATCGAAATGTATTTAACAAAACACTCAAAAATATATCGAATAATTGAAATACACTTAAAAAGTGTCATTCGATGAAAACATCAGCTTCTAAATAAAAAAAAAAAAAAAAATTAAATAAATGCACCTGCTCTCGCATTCGACAACAGTGCACGTGTTTCGTCGAGCCTTATCAAAAGTAAAAAAAAAAAAAAAAAAAACCAAAGTGTTAATTAATATCTAACTTTAGCTGCTTCCATTCAGCGAATTCGTGAATAACTGTAATTGCTCCCGTTGAAACGGACAAGGGATATACGGAATGCTCGCGTCCCGGGGATCGACTTTCCCAGTTCCTGGGCTTAAAACACATCGTTAATTGCATAAGTATTAGTTCCCCGGCCGAGGAACTAACGAGGTATCCGAGGCATGAGCGACGCATCCGTGCATACAACTATGCGTGCACGGATGTCGAGGCCGCGTAATTGAAACCTAGACTTTACGTTGGATGGAAACGAAGAAACAAAATGACCGTCCAAGCTAAACCCGCCCGTTTAACATCGACAGGGGCCCGACCATATCTTTGAGCTTATTACGGATACCATCGATCAAATGGTATGGAACGATCACGCGAAACAAGAAATGTCTTCGTCCGCGATTTCCCCCCTCTCTCCCCCTTTTCTTCAGCAACGAGCACGTTTCGTTCGTTGATCCGAATCCGTACGAGCGGATGTGATTCATACGTTTCAATTATTCACGTGGTCGACACAACATTCTCGGCGAGGATAAAACCCGTTCGCTCGAAAATAAATAAGTGCGCTTCATTCTTAGAAGAGTCGCGTGATGTAACTTTACGTTAACGTTTCGCACGAGAGTGCTTTCCATTCAATGAACGAGTGGACTCTTTCATTAATAGAGACGCGCGTGAGAGTATCGGAGTGGTGTATTTTCTAAAATTAGAGTGGTAGCGTTTTTTGGTAGTTAAGGAGAATTCGTAGTTTTATTCGCTGATGCTGGGATTCAGGGTGGCGCTTTGAAAATTAAACAAGTTGGACATATTCTATATCGTGTTTGTTTGATTAAGAAACTATTTATTTCTTGGAATCTACCTTTAAAACTATTTTTTTAATTCTTTAGTGAAAACTCCCTATGTGCTATAAATTACATGTATTGGACGTGTTCTATATTAGTTCTGTTTGATTATAAAATAATTGAATTAAAATATCTTACTCCCGGAATAAATTTTGTTCAATTTCCCATTGAAAAGCCATCTCACATTTAATATAAATTGTGTAAATTGGAAATAATTCATATGATTTATGTTTCATTAAAAAACAATTCATTTTCGTTAACACTTCACTCTTACAATAAATATTCTTTAATTTCTCGTTGAAAAGCTCTGTCCGCCATATTAAATACGAATTATATAAATTGTATATATTCCATATAATTTGTGTTTAATTAAAAAATTTATTTTCTTTAACATCTTTGACCTACAAAATTCATTTTCTTTACTTCCCCATCGTAAATCCCAAATATGTATTACACGACAATCAACATGTTAAACGTATATCGCCAAGTCCAACAATGTAATTCCTGCTTTATTAATTACTATAGCGTGTTCCGAGCTGTACACTGACTTTTAAAGTCCTCGTGTTCCCGCTCTCCGAATCTCGGAAATTAATCTTACCTAGATTCTCCCGTTCTCCGAATCCCCCGCCTCCGGCTTCACACAGGTGCACCTGCAACACACAAATAAGCGTCAGATTATGCTATTCTACCTGGCGTTCAATTCCGCCCGGTTACCAGGAATCGAATGTAAAGTACACGTGCGCTAACATAAAATAAAATAAAAAAATAAAAAAGAGGGAGGTATCGCATTCGAACAGGGAAGATGGATGCCGCGACGGAGATAACTCTGAACCGCTACGAACCGAGACATGTCTGCGCTAGAGATTGCCATGTTGCTCTTTCCGCAACACTGAATTTCACCGCAACGATCCTCGACGGAGGAAACGACAATTTTTCGCCTAGGACGTGTAAAAAAAGTAATTTCTCGGGCTGTCGTTGAAAAGAAAGAGTAAATTACGCTACACTGTTCGTTCGTCGTAAATGCCGACAGTGTACAATGCTTCCTGCTGCTTTTTCTTTTGTCACTGCAATTTATGGAGCAGAGGTGCCCGATTTGAATGTTAAAGAGGAGGATAAACAAACTGTGGTTGGAGTTAAATGGATAATCGTTCATGAAACTTCGGTTGGTACACGGACTGTATATCAAAATTCAAACGTGCCTTTGAATTTTTCTTAAAAATTGACACGAACTCTCTGGACAACCCAATATGTACCAAATATATCATTTATATATTCTCTACGATTTACCATATTGTTTTTTATGTACACGAGTTTCACATTTTTATTATTATTATACGTTCAAGGGTGTTTGACTAACTGTAATTATATTTTGAGCCATATTTTAATACTATATTGAAACAGTAAGATAAACTATTTGTGTTATGTTAACAAAAAATCTTTTTATTGTAATCTTATTATGCATATGTATACCAACTTTGTGCTTGCCATATTGTTTTAGATACACACGACTTTCACACGATTCTTATTATTGTTATAACTTTAATAACGTGTTTTTCTTTTATGGATTATATTAGGTTCTCCCAAAAGTTTCTTTCCTTTTATTAATAGTTAATACATACACAATATTTTATGTTTTATGTTACATTACAAAATTGTGTACAATTCATTTCGCTTTATTACTGTTACAGCATATGTCTAAGAAATTAAATTGTATATTTATATAAACACTGCCACAGAAAATAATTGAATGCAACTCACGAAAGAAACTTTTAGGACAACCTAATATTAAGGGTGGTTGAATATTAAGGGTGGTTTGACAACCCAACATGTATCAAATATATCATTTATATATTCTCTACGATTTATACAACTTTACAATAAACAAGAAAACCGTCTTGCAACACAAAAAAAAACACATTACTCGAAACCAACTTCAAAGCCAATAAATAAGTAACGTGCTCCATTCCGTGAATCTCGAGTTTCATATTTTCTCTCAAATCGCGTGGCCTGAAGTAGCCGAAGGCGCGCAACCAACGAGGACGCCTCCATTCCCGCTCGCTTCCCCTTTTTCACCGAGAAATCATTGCGGGGAGCGAAAGAAATCATTAACAATTTTATTGCCCGACGAAAAAAAAAGTTTCGCCGACCCCCGAGATAGAGCAAGGGGAGAACGCGGTGGATGATTACGACGAAGGGAAAGCGGATGAAAGAGAGAAGGGAGAGAGTAAACGGAGAAGGATGATGCAGACAACTCTTCGCGCAACTACCCCTACTCGCTGGCTCCTCAGCTTCCTTCTCTTTTTCTACGGACATCGGCTCGCTCTCTCCGTGGCTTCCTCGTCGTCTCCCTCTGTCTCGCACCAGGGATCCGCAGCTTCCTTATCTGGTCCAAGAAGAGCCCGTTCCACGCTTCTCTCTTCATCTCGCGTTCCGTTCGGCCAATTCCTCGTATTATACCAGGTTGCGGTGTGGAATGCGGGCGTCCTTCGTTCGCTTCGAGCAGCGTCCAACCGATGAGCCCCGCTAGCGTTATCCTTCGCCGGTCCTTCGCATGCGCTCCTTAGGGCTCGGTAAAATTAACCTGGAATACTCGGCCCGAGAGACGCCCGCCTCGCTCTTCCCAGCCGCTGGACCGCGGATTCGTTAAACTCGCTCACGCGGCTTGCACCGTCACGACATGCCTTCCGTTTTGCTTGTGTGCAAGCGCCCCGGCAGTCACGGCGAGCCGTGGAGACGATCGGCGTACCTCGTCCCGGGTTTCTCGGGCTTATTGACGATGAAATTAAGGCGATTTGTCCGAGTTGAGCGGTTTTATCGCGGCTCGCGGCCCGGTCCGACGGATTCGCGACGCGCTAACCGCGGGATCGCGCCCACCTCGATATATGCACGAGGATGGTTTATTTTAACGCGAGGTGGAGTCAGAATGGTACGTCATGGATAAGAATACGTATCGGTGGGTGAAAGAATCGATGGATCGGGAATGGAAGGGTTTTCTCAGAGGAAGTTTTAGAAATTTGATTTGTGGTAATAGAATGGGGGTTAGTGTAGTCGTGGTGGCCATGTTAATCCCTGTTTCAATTCTATTCGTTTCTCTTTTAGAAATTAACTTTACTAAACTAGGGTTGGCTATAAATTAAAAGCCTGTAGCCGGATAATGAGGCGCAATTTGCTCCAGTACAAATGCTATTTATTTTTTTAACACACAGTCAGTGTAAGAAGTATTCGTACAGCAACCAATTTAAAATGAAATTAACGAGAAAAGAAATAAGAGGTTAACATTAAAAATAATAAACTTTGATTTAAGGATGGAAAACGATGCGTTAAAGTCGAGTTCATGACTATTCACTCCAAGGAACTAAATACCAATCCAAGTTCTTTAAAAACAAATCTCAAATATAAATTAATTTCACCTGAATAGAATCACCTTTATACAAAAATCCATCCTCTCTCCATGACGCTCTGCGATCATTATCTTCCTTCGCGAGCGTCCTTACTCTCCTCTTATGATCCAGAGATGGTAACCCTACTTCTTTATCTATGCCCCCTATCCCATTTCAGCCATCCTCGTCCCACCTACGTTTCCTCTATCGCATTCGTCGTCAGGCTTTCTTTTGTTTTCGGTGCGCGGTTTTCTTCTTCCTTTTATTTGCTCCTTCTCGTCGTCCTCCCCGTCGTCCTGTTCTTATTCTCCTCCTGCTGGCTCGGCCATACCGCGTGCCTCCAGCGGAAGTAAACCACCGTGCGCACGCCGGTATCTCCTGAAGAGCATTCTACACAGTCTCAAGCCGGCGTTCTTCCTCCGTGAACGCGTAACTGGGATTCCACGTTTTGCGGGCAGGCAGCTGCAACCGCGACCCGCACTGGAGTAGGTTATCGTCGTTGTCGGCGTCGACGTCGTCCGCGTCGTTGTCGTGGCTTTCACCACTTTGCCATAGGTACATGACGGCGTCGACGCGAACAGACTCGGGCGATGACAAGAGAAAGGTGAAATGCGTTACACGGGTTTTCGCTTTGCTCTTAATTGTTCTGTGGGTTTTGTGGTCGGGTCGGAGAACAGCACCGAGTATTACCTTTCTTCTGGACGGTTCTGTATCGGATACGTATGTGCATAATAATGGGCTTATATTTGGTCGTTATAAATTATCAACTAACAAAATTATTAGATTGCTTGCTTAGACATTTTTCCTTTATTTTCGGATTATAAAAAAAGTAGTTTCTAGAATATAGTACATCTATGGATACATCGTATGTGTGTACCTAAACATAATTATACTCAATTTTGTTTGAAAATATTATGTTAGGTCATCCTATAAGTTCGTGTTACCGACTGAGTCAATGTTTAATACAAAGAATTACAGAAATTTTATAGTGACTGCATATTGACTATGTCAGAAACGTGGGGAAATATTGAGACGAGAGAGACTTTTCTTACAATACCTAAAATTGTCTATAAAAATTATTTTTCATTTACTTGGTCAAAGTAAGGCATATTTTCGTTAAATAACATATAGGAGAATCTTCTATTATCCATTATCTAAAAATTCCTAAAGAAGAGAATAAAAATGGTTTGGAAAGAAGTGGTCCTTTGAACAAATATTTTAACAGAATTTGTACACCTCGATGAGATATGAAATCGTTGTTAAATATAATTTTTTTTCGAGAAACGAATATTTCTTAAAATTCCAGCTTCAATATACATATCGAACGGTGAGTACCTTCCGCAAGAATGTCTCGAAAAAAATTCGTTTCTCGAAGAAATAAGGGAGTAGGATCGAAATGTAGAAAGAATGTTAAACACTATATTCGAGAATGGAATTTTTGCTTTCCTTTTGAGGTTCTAGAATTTCGTATATAATTCGAAATTAATAACAAAGATGAGCCAGCGGGATGAAGAAAGGCGAAGACGATGGAATAGACGTCGAATGGAAGGTAGAGGCGTGTACGTCGTATTATTCGTAGCTGTCCAGTTAGGCAGAGGAGTCCCCTGATGGGATTATAATGTGAATATAATGGCGAGCTCCCGCGCTACGCAACCCTTTCATCCCCCACTCCAACGACGGTGGCTTAGCTTCCATCGAAAACCCTCCTTCGCCGTCTGAAAGCTTAATCGACTATTCCGACGATTTTCTGGAGCTTAAACCGCCGCTTCCAGACGTAAAAAAGGAGAACGAAAGTGTGATGAGTTCTAGATACACGAAACTGGCACAAACCTGCTGCCGCCCGTTCAAAGGATACTAATGTTGTAATTATAAAACGATTACAAAAAATTTCTCTTTGATAGCACACGAACTCTACGGCACTAGTAACCAACGAAACTGTAAACAAATGCTTTCGCGATGACTTAGCGAATACCGTTCATAATATTGAAAATATTCGAAGTTAATTACTTTTCGCTCTCGCCGTTGACTAAAGTTATCACGAGTTTTACCTAAAATTATTCTGTAGAACATCGTGGGTTTTTACATAGACTGTATTATTACTATATGTTATTATTATTGCACTTGTATATTACAATTAAATATTTGTCTTCTTACATCTGTATATTATTATTATTATAACTTACTTACAATCAATTTAAAATACATATTTTTTAATATTCATGGTCATTATAATATAATTAATTTTATATCTTAATTTTATGTTGAATATA